TTTGACCAACACACCGGGTCATTTACGTAAGCACAAATGTGTTATTTTGGATTATTGTGTAGTGACATTATGTGAATTACTCTTGCAGTTACATCAGAAATGGAACTCCTACCGAATTGCGGAAGTGATAGAGCGTGGGTATGGACTGTTTTATCTGACTATGCCGATGAAGAAGCCAAACCAGAAACCTTAGCCATTAGATTTGCAAATTCTGAAAGTGAGTGTTTTGGTTTATTTGCCTGATTTGCTTGTGGGTAACTGTTGCATATGTGCATAGTCATTTTGCACATCGCACTAAATTATCTTTATTTAGCTTGCCAACAAAAAAACTAAAAGCGACTGATAACATGCCATATTTTAACTTACCTGCTTGTTCACCATTGATGATCCGAGACGGGCGGACTGAAGCCATCTGTACAATGGTTTTACCTTGTAGAATGTCTCTTTCTGAGGTGTAATAGTTGTTGTACTCTTAAAAACATGGCTGTCCCAGGAGCCTCTTTCTGGATAAAACTTGCCCATAAGAAACTGAGAGGGTGCCAGACATTTAAAAAAAATCAATGCTCTTAAATCTCCAGCCACAGGATTTGATGATTTTTAAATCAATTTATTATTATTACAGATGCTCAGAAGTTTAAAACAAAATTTGAAGAATGTCAAACAGATATTGTCAATAATTGTAAGTAACCAGAAATTCAATAATAAATACAGCAACTATATATTTTAAAATGTACAATCTGGATATGCCACTTGACTACATGAAGCTTTCCTGTGATGCTGTAAAAATCATATGGAGTTATGAATTTTGTATTTTGATACTCTATCATGATTTATCATTTACCTTTCATTAAAACAAAGAAAATATTTCAGCTGAAACGGTCATTGTAGCGACTACTTGTTTTGTTTTGTTTTTTGTGTTGGTAGTTTATTTATTCATTCAGTGAATTATTGTTTGCAGTGAAAAATGAAGCAAATGAAACGGATAACAAAGAAAAAGAGACCGAGGATGTTGCTAAGCAATTAGAAGATTTAACAGTTAAGGATAGCAACAAAGAAGATGCATCGGAGAGTAAAGACAACAAGGTGGAAGGAAAAACGGATGAAAAAGATAAGAAATCGGAAGATAAAACGGAGGTGAAAACAGAAGAAACTAAAGATGAACCTAGTGATGATACTAAAGAGAAAAAAGATGAATCATGAGTGACTTTGTAAACTACATCCCAATTGGTTGATAGTCTCGTGCAAACAAACAAATCGATACTTATTGACCAATCCAGAAATGTGTTGCATCTGTGATGTCAACTCAACTGAACATTGTACAGAATTAAAAATGGATGAACTGTAACCCCTTACCTGATTGGTTGAGTGTAAAAATGAACCTTTATATTGACCAATGATAAGAAATCCAGTCATATAGCTTATACTTAACAACATGTGAAAAATGCGAGAGATGCGTTTTCTTCAAAGCTGTATAAAGCTCCAGTATCTTGCTATTTGCAACTTAATTTTGTACTTTTTGAGAAGAATGCAATCCTGTTCAATTTACATTTAGATGTTAAAGTGGGTTGGGCCTTTTCCAACATGATCGCGTTTCAGTTGATTATATATTCTACTATAGGTCAACTGTAGTACACTTTTGGAGATGGAGGGTGGGGTGTCTGGTTCAAGGTCTTTGCTGTTGAACAGTTTACATTGAAACTATTTTGTTAAACTTAACTGCTGTCTCTAAAATAAACTGATCAGAAAAACTCCTCATCATTTACTTTTACAATATTGTGTGATGTAATATTCTTGGGAACGTTTATTGAAAGTGTCAAACACTGCTGGCAATGTTCCTAGGAATGTTTCATTGAAAACGAGTTTTCCTGATTAGTTTATTTTAGCACCTGACGAAATACTTGATTCCATCTGATCTTATTTCCTCTGCTCATGGTATTATGCCCTTTACATATCTTGAACATACTATGAACAAACCATTTTAATTTCACAAGACAAAATTTCATGAGCCTTGGAAAATCTCACTTGGAGGAGAACAATTGTCCAGTATTATAAACCTGTAATTTTGCAAGTCCTGAGAAATTTAAGAAGTTTTCAAGTGGCGAGTTGAAAATATCAAATTGCGATTGTTTTGTGGAGTTATCTGCTTGTTTAACTTTTTGGCAGTTTTAAAATCGATAAAAGCCTAAGCATTTCAGTCTTTGCATTCATTGTCTTCGGTCATAATTTGCCAAATTTTGAGAAATATAACTGTCTCCTTTCCAATGCTTTTGTACTATTACTACTTGTATCTTTTTAGTAAATTTGCGTATTCTGTTTAGTTTAGCATTCAGGTCATTGTTAACAATTCACGTATTGTGTCTATTGGGGGGGGGGGGGGTCCAGCTCATCATTGGCAAGTACATGCAACTCGATTCTGAAAGCAGTCAAAGGATGGATTTACAAATGTTTCAGCTCGGCTTTACAACTACACACCGATTGCAACCATAAATTTAGGCCCAGGATTACGTACAGTGCTCTTTATATGCCCAGTTTTTATTTAAATTTATTTTTGTTTAAGTTGTAAATTGTAGAACCCTAGGTCATTTAAAATAAAGCTTTTCTTTTATTACATTGATTAATAGTTGAATTAAAATTCCTTTTATCCCTTTGTATGTTGTGCTGGTTGGGAATACAGAGTGGCATACTTAACGAGTCTTAACGGAAGAAATTCAAAACTCTGCATATTATTCTGCCAGTGGTGCAGACATGTGTAAATTGACAATTTTTTGTTCACTGCGAGATCCCACATAAAATCGAACGAAAAAAACAGGATAAACAAAGTTGGTAGTGGCGACAAATATCACGTGGGATTTGACAAACGTGAAAGTATTTTGGGGATATCACCATGCTTAATCTGCTGTACACATTTGATGGTAAGGGTAGTCAAAAGCAATATGCCCCTGTCAAAAGATCAGCCTTTCGATGTGAGCTATGAAATAAAATAAAATTGTTTAATTTTTGCGGCAGATGTTTGGCGCGCGTCTTTCATGTAACTCGCAGTTGAATGGAAAATCATCTATTGGCTGCTGACCCATTTTCTAAAACTGGTTGTTTTTTCGGTGAGGGGAGGGGGTCGTCAATGAAACGTGTATAATCGCATCCACTTATGCATTCGCCCTTGGATGTCAGTAGTGATCTCTACATAAAAGTTACATTTCAAGACTAAGTTTGGACTCTGCATGGTTACATACTAGCAGTTGTGAATTAAAACTGACCGTCCTGTAAACGTAGCGCCCTCTAGTGTCAAAGGACTTGTGTCAAAATGGGTGAAATCATAAATGTTCAAATCGGCAGATGTTTAATAGTTTATTTAGTGTTGTAGTTTCAGAATGTAGTGTTCCAATTGGCAATACCAAATAAATACGGAGGTTACAGATTATTGCAGTGTTATTTGGCAGTAGTCCTGGATTTTTGGTAGGATGCTCAAACAAATCGATGTTGAGGTGCTTTTTTGGTTCAATTTTTTATTTTTTGACAAAAAATAGCCTAAAATTTACTAAAATGGCAGATATTTGGGCCAAAAATATGCTCGAACGTTGAAATGGAGGTCAAAACGGAGGCACATAACCCTGCCGACAGGAGGTGTCTAGTGACTGCGGTATAATCGTATACCTATGTTTAGAAAATATCAATTTGACCTAAGAATCACGCCCTCTAGTGACAGAAACTCTTCTATGACAAAAGTGCTTGAAGACTGTTTAACACATCACTATTGTTTCGACATGTAATACTGTAGAATACTTTATTTTCAATTGGAATAAATTTTTGCTAAAGGATTGATTCAGTGTAAATAAAATCCAGTGAATATATCTTTTCCCTATATTTCACATTCAACTCGTAAAAAATCAGTGAGAATAAAATCCATACAAAACACCCAAAAAGTCTATTCAGCGAAAATTAATTCCAGCTAAAATAAAGTATTTTACAGTAATATAAGAAACGGGTTAATGCTGCAACGACCGATAATATATTCCACAACATTTCCACTACCTATTCACGTACTACTGATGAGATCATTAGCATAAACGTCATAAATTGCCCCAATTACGATTACCTACTACAATTGACCACGGTCGATCGTTACCTGAACGGTCATGTTGAATCATTCCAAAAGGTCCTAACGTTGTTTTTATATAGTACAGGTGGTCCACTAAATATGCTTTTCAATATTTCTGAAATTTCACCTCTGAAGAAGTGATAAACTTTGACTGCCACTCTTTAGATGACATTTTTTTGCACGTGACTTTAATACAAAGGATGACAGGTTATAAAAGAAATCGGAAATGTACATCGCGCGAAATTCTCGGTAAAATGAATTGACCTAACAGGAAATGACATTCATTTTCAATTTCGTGAAAATCGTAAACTTGACGCAATTACTTATTTCTTTCCTATGGCCGAATATTCCGACAAAACGTGAGATAGTTTTAACGCCAAAGATATTTTCGCTGGTAATACCACATTTGCAAGATGGTCATCATATTAATTAGAAAACCAGAATGCGGCGGTATGGATGAATCAGTGTGCAAACGCTGCCCTCTATCGACTATTATAGTGCGGAGTTGGAGAATTGAACGTGAGATGGATAAAAACACATTACTAGGATGTCATGACGTGTTACATTTGATCACGTGGTCACATGTTATTTTTTTTAAGTAGTAAGAAATGTACGTAAATTTGTAAGACCATTAAAAGATCTTTGAAATTCCTAAGGTGTAGTCCATTACGGAAAATCCTAGGGTAGATATTGAAGAAAAGAAAAAATTTTGCAGAAATTACACGAAGTAGAAACAACATAATGTTAATTAGAACATATATATGATTTTCATCCCTCCTCTATAATGGACAGAATGGAATGTTATTCTTGTCAGTCGTAGTTAGTGCATGTTGTTAATGGGAGTGTGAAGAAGAGCTCGCCCATTAAGTATGTAGGTTTTAGCGGTAAAGGTCATTGTCAAGTCCATTATCATAATACAGGAGAGGTGAAATAAAAGACAAATGTATTTTAATTTATACTATGTTTTTTTCACACTCTCTGTAATGTTTTTTGCGTTTCTGCAATGACTAGTATTTTTGACAGTGATTAAGAATAGGCATAATTTCATTTTGACGAAGATGTGAATTTGACAATTACGCAAAAACATACACGCAATATTTGTACTACGGGAGAGTAGACACAAGAAAGATTTTTTTTTTTTTTTTGGATGCGTGATTCTGTGAATTCAGTAAATAAAAACTTAATTACGCACGCACGGACAAGGCGTAAAACGTAATCAGTTATGTTAATCCTTCGGTACTCTTGTGTAAACACTCGTAGATCATACAAAGATTCTACAAAATTCAATTTATAATCCATGTTATAATCCATGGTAAAGTGCTGAAGGCCAACAAATGGGTGCTAAACCTATACTGAAATTGAGTTTTCACGAGAAACTGCAACTACTACCTTGCCATCATACATATCGTTTTATCTTAAAGAAAATAAATCATTGGTAGCTTTTGCCACCCCACCGATCACCGATTCGCAATAAATTATAACAAGACATCTTCAAACAATGACGTCACGAGAATAATCCTATATAATTTATTAGTGATCCCACTATCCATTCGTAAAAACCATCTGGCTTGAAATGATTGACTACCACATCCACAGTTATTTCTCAGCTGTGTATTTATTTCCAATATTTGAAGGCATGTTTACACTGGCAATAACTCATAATTTGTCGTTAGTGAAATCCTATTGGGATGATTGGTTACCCCCACCCACAATGAAATAATTGTATATACATGTAGTTGAATGCTCGTGTGAGGGAGAAATTGAAGTTGATAACAGACACTCAACACTGAGAGGATTCGGATCTCAGAAAGAGATTCATTCTTTGTAATAAGTAGATTTTGAACGTACTTTGTGGTCGTGTCGTTTCAGTGTTGTCGTCCAAATGATGCACAAATTCGTAAAATGTAATTAAGCATTTATATCTCTAAAAACATGTTTTGTTTTATTGTGAGGTATAACTTATTTTTGTTTTCTGTAAAAATGTAAAATGGTCTTTATTTTTTTCTGTAACCTGTACCTGCCACCCCTTGCCCCCTGTACTTTTGACGACCTTTTTATAATAAATATATCCGACATGAATCATATCTATAGTATAAAATTTATTGTACGGGTGGGTACAGTTGGGACTTGTAGAAGCTTTAGAGTCCAGATGAAATACGCTGTACATAACAGAGTTCTAAAGTTCGTGTTCATATCAGATTCAATTATTCTCTATCTGATTGGCAGTAAAGGCTAGACTTGGGCAAGACGTTGCATGTAGTGCATCGTTTTCAGATTCCGATTCGCCACTGATGTCATCTCGGTTGGATACGCTCTTGAATCTTGTCCTGAAAAATTTAGCAATGCTTTCTCTTCTACTTGTCTTTTTCCGTCTTCCAAGGCCGTCTTCGACATTCACGAAGATAGCAGCGAGATTAGCCTCGCTCCTCGAGATGTCATTGTCACCCACGGTCAAATCAAATTTAATATGACCTTCTGGTACGTTTTCTGTATCATATTTGTGGTTTATTCCGTTTAGTTTAAGTTCGGGCAAAGGAGGAGGCTGAATGATTCTAATTTTAGGACTTCCGGTAGGTGTTGTCTGCAAACTGTTCGATAGACTTATTTTGGTATATCTAACAGCGAGTGGTGGCGTGGGGATTATGCTAGTTTTTCTCGAAGATACCGGCGACATGTCACCCATGGGAGAACTCCCTGTAGAAATAAAAAAAAAGGCATGTATATACATATTTTCACACATGAACTTCCTGAAGATATTCCTTGAATGTATAAAAGGAAGATTACTTTTTTATTTATGCACGTCATTGTGTGTATTTTGACCAATTTTCAATGACGAAATCACAACAATTTATTGTCACAAGGAATCAAGTTTCTCATTATTTGCTTTTATAGAACCATTCGTTCGGCAAAATATCAAGAATATGTAGTAAAAAACAGCAAACTTAAAGTGGCGCTGTACCTAAGCCCCCCCCCCTCTCTCTCTCTCTCTCTCCGGGGACCGTTTATGGATCAGATTGTCCTCTTTACTAGTATGTGGTGTTTTTGTAGTGAGACAAAAACGATGACCATGTATAAAGGCCTATACTATTCAGCTAACATGAAAAATAGCTTGCTGGCAAATAAAGGTAAAAAGTGACTAGGTAATCCAGTTTTTCACAAACGTGGTATTCAAACCCAAAACAATTATTTTTCCATAAGCTAAAACAATCGCGAGTTTCTGGATGTCAGGCGAGGTAGAAATGTATACATATTACGCCCTCTCGCGACGAAGCGTTTCCATGACGTCAAAATGATTTAAATGACCTAGTGTCGTTCAAACTTTGCCTGATTGTGCAGTCGTTCGTCATTTGGAATCTAGCAAATCTCTCTAAACAACCACAGACCAAAACAGTGTAGACGCTGTGAATGGCGTCTTTTATGCCTATTTACGTCACAGAAAAGATTCGTCGTTGATGGCGCGACTAAAACAAAACGGTGTAGAAGGCGAGGCTTTATATCTTTACCTGACAACAATAGTTGGCTGTGACAGCACAGCAGCTTTCTGAATGCCTTCCTGAAAGATTCATATCTCCATACATAAACCATGGGATTAATGGCAGAATTTGCATATCCGCACCAATATGCAAATGAGTTAAACCATAACGGCAAATAATGGAATCCCCTGACAATCAAACAGCTTGCATAGACGAAGTAGGGCGTCCAGCATAGGACGAAGATCGCCATGACTATGAACATAGTTATCGTAGCCTTTTTCTGAGTGTTCGAAATTGAAGTTGGTAAAATTGATGTGTTTTTCTTCATACGTTTTGCGTGTGCATGAATGGCGAAGAACATTCTGCCATAGCAGAACGCCATCGTGGAAAGGGGAATAACGTATCCCGTGGTGGCAACAAACACGGCGTGCGTTTTCTGTTTGACGCTCTCCGGGTACGCAGGTCCGCACTGTGTGGCGCCCGGTTTGTACTCGTTTGTAGTCCAGCTGAAAAAAGGCCCAATCGCACAAACCACAGCCGTGGCCCATATTCCGACGATCATTAGTATGGTTTTCTTCTTTGTGACGATCCGTTTTAATGGTCTCAAGATACAAAAGTATTTGAATATGCTGATGTACATGAGGCCGTGTAAAGACGCGATGAAGAAAAGCGCGTTGGTAAAAGCATTGAAGTAGCAGAGCTCCTTACTGAAGAGCCAGTCTCCCCGAAGCACAGTAATCAGCGAAAATGGCATCGCTATGGCAGCTAAACCGATATCCGCGATTGCTAAGCTTATTATTAAAAGATTCGTGCGGGTTTTCATCTTTTTGTTCAGTATGACAATAAGTACGACCAATCCGTTTCCGAAAAGGCTTACGGTAATTATGAGTACCATCGTAAAAGACAGAAATAGCTTAACGGCATGGTTCCGGTACGGTATTAAATGGGCGTCTGATAGCTCAGCGGTCAAATTCGTCACGGGTAGCTCGATTGCCGCCATCTCGATATTGAATTCTTCGCTTACAATAATTCCAAAGGCTCGGGTCATCTATACGTGGAAGAACGAACGCATTATCGTTATCATCCGGTATCCATAGCAACTTCGATATCACTGTAAAAGAAATAAGAGTCTGATATTAACAGTATACATACCCTGAGCCCATTGAGCTTATGAGTCAATAGTGACAAATTGTGACAAAAAAAGTCGACTGTCAGGCGTGAAATTTAAATCTAAATTGCTGATGCAATAATAAGATTATTTTTGTTCGAAGAGACGGGCGTTACAAACCGCAATCACATTTATCCTTCGTGATTGGATTACGTTTTGCTTGAAGACGCGACACAGTCAATCACAATACTTCACGAATATAGGCACTTTCTCTGGAGGAATGCACACCATTTTATAGTGTAAATTTTATGTTTCTCAAGTCTTCACAAATGAATTTTGTTCACGTAGGAAAGTCGTTCGTCATTACGAGTACGCCGTGCATGCGATGGAATTTGAACGGCTAACGAACGGATCGAGATCAATCAAGAGATAAAACAACGTTGAAAAATTAAAACTGCAATACATGTTTGCATTGAAAGGGTGTTTCAAGACGATACAAGCGAAATGAAAAAAAAATTTACCGCTCCGAATTCAATTTCATCTGCAAGGAGCGCCAAACAACGAAATAAATGCGGATGGCCACACAGTTAAACGGGGACAATTCAAAGCTTAGACGTCAAACATACTACATAAAAATGCTTTATATCTACCATCAATAATTTATTTCCATAATTTTTTTCCATTTATTTCAGTCTAGTGCATACAATGTTCCATTATATCTTAGATGAGATCATTGGTCAAATTGTGAAAACTGCGTCGGCTCTGGGGACAACGCGTCACTGATCTATGCCGAAAACTTCATCATACAAATACAATATCAACTGTTTATCAATGATGAGGGTTAATATATGAGGGAAATCGCCGAGGGAAAACAAAGCTTCGCAGCACGTACCGACATCAATCCCTCCAAGTCGACTACAACGCGTAGTTGTTATTGATTATACACCGAGGGAATATTAGTATGTGACAAAGTGTGAAATGTGCACACAATGCGCATTTGCAATCTTGTAATTTTGTGTTGTGATTAATCCCCCTCCCAATGCACTGTTCCATCGATTCATTCAGTCATTCATCCATTCATTCATTCATTCATTCATTCATTCATTCATTCATTCATTCATTCATTCATTCATTCGTTCGTTCGTTCGTTCGTTCATTCATTCATTCATTCCCTCACTAACTTATTTATTTATTTATTTATTTATTTATTTATTTATTTATTTATTTATTTATTTATTTATTTATTTATTTATTTATTTATTTATTTACTCCCAAACTATTTGATATATTTTCATAATCAAGACACGGGCGTTATAATTCATGGACTACTCGCTATATGTGGTAGCTGCTTCCTGTCATTAATTATTGTTTTCCTGACATTTACCTCATTTTACTCTGCAGTAAACACCCACAATTTATGCACTCAATTAAACGGAAATTGTTCGGACTATGATGTGTGTTTGATCACTGATTTTCGTCGGTTTCGGCAAGGTCGGTCAGGGAAACCCGTACAGTTATGAATACCTTAAAATGCACCAGTTTTCCGCTCGACTGTATAACCTATCAAATGTTCAGTAATATTTAATTGGTGTGATGTAATTAAAATATTTCAACCTAAAGTGTGGTGACGTTATCGCGTGCGATTGTACACGTATCGACACATGTACGCGTGCGCAGGAATTGTACAAAATAGGGAACTGTTCGAAATCAACGTGTAAGACGTTTTATTCACAGTTTTTCAAATATCGACAATTTCAGACAATATAAATTTTAATGAGTGGTGATGATGAAAATAGAATAGAAATGTTAACAGGTCACCAGTTACAACAAGTAGCCTGGTTCCCTTACTTTTCTTTTGTGGGTTT